CTGCATGAGCTTAAGGAAGGAGCCTGGTCTCTGAATAACTGTACTGAACAAAGCACCCACTTCTCTCGTCCCCATCTCTCCGTAAATTACTTTGTGACAACAATGAACAATAAACATCCACTGCAATAAGCCACCAAGATCTGGGGTTGTTTATTACAGGGGATATAACCTACCCTAATCGTTAATATGGAGTTCTTAATAAACTCCAGAAATGTGCTATTTAGGGCATGAAAATGAAAATTTAGTAGTTCTCAGAACTCACTTGGATTTTTAATAATGTTTAGCTTTACATAAAAATGCACACATTTGCCTGTATGGATCTGTTTTCAGTCTATCCGAAAGACCTTCACAGCCCACACTGAGCTGGAAGCAGGGGAATAAGGGAACAAAAGCATTTTGGAAAATCCATCAACGCCACTGTGTTCATTAATCAAAAATGTTTTTCTAACACCTACTACCTACCAAGCACCATGCTGGAGATTAAGGGCCGAAGGCTGAATGAAATGGAGGCGCTGCCCTTGAGCTGTTCACGGAGGGAACAGAGGGACTGGTCTATCAGTGAACAATGGGATGCCCACAGAAAGGAAGACATGTGTGAGAAAAAGCTGCAGCACAGGAAGAGCCACCTCCCCTACAAGAGCAGGAAAGGCTCCAAAATGCAGGGGCCTGGAAGAGGAAAGACACTGAGAGTTAGCAATGCAGGGAGAGGTGTTTGAGTTCTGTTCTCTGCTGAAGCAACCCGACCAAAAGCCTAACTCATTTCCTCTCCAGTTTGATGCAAGACTGTAGAAGCTAATCCAAGAAAAGAAGCAAAATGCAGCCTTTTTGTGATTTACAAGGTGATTTCTTCAGGTGGATTTTACTGACACTAAGAAATAAAAACTCTAACTTTTAAGAAAGTTTTCCTTAGTACTTGAAAATTTCCTGGCATAAAGCAAATTCTCCAGTTGAATCATACACATTACTCAGAGAGTAATAATATAGTTCATACACACCTGCACTCACAGGTGACCAGGTTCACTCACCAGAATGAAACCCATCCCACTTAAGGGAAGCTACATTTACCTCCCTTAACGCTGTTGACCATTCTCACAAACTTGGGGCACAAGACCAGGAAACTCTGTAACTGCTTATTTAGCGCTACTGGAAAAAAATAATTCACAGCCCGTGTCCCAGTGATGTGAGTCTCCAGCTTCGAAAGTGAGTTTGGTTTAGATGCTAGTGTTAGAAATCTGAAATGTCCCATCCAACGGAAGGGTGCTATGGGGAGGAAAACAAGAATATGCTGTCATTGAAAGATAAAACTAACTCCACTACATCCCCCCAAGTGCCACGCAAGATAAATGTGAACTGCACTCTCCCCCCTAGATCTATTTAGAGTCAAGCCTTTTTTGATTTACTGCCATTAGAGTTACCCCTTTATTGCAAATGTTTTAAATTTACCACAAAGATGGTTTGTGACGCAAAAAGGAAGAGTAACTTCCCGGGAGTCTACAAATGTTTCTGTCCTCATCTCTGGCATCTCACAGAATATGAAGATGAAAGAACGTGAAAAAAAAGTCTTAAAAATGAAAATGCATTGTTTTTTACATATTTGCAATCATTTTATACATATCACAATACAGCTCTAATTTTGATAGAAAAGGCATTAATATTGAAATAATCCCCAAACAAAACCCAAATCTGGCAAAATGCCACACTTACTTTTAAAATGTGTGGCTGCCCAAGTAAATAGTCCAAGTATAGAACAATTAAAGGTTTGAAGATATCTATTTTTCCACATGCTGCCATAATTTTAAAAACATTATTTTCCTACCATTTCCCATTTTTCTTGCTTTTCTTGGCTCTGAAATTATATGTTACCCAATCTCTAAGTTATCTCAGTTATTTATAACAATCTTCTTCAACAAAAGTTCATTAAGGAGGGAAAAAAGCAAATGAATTTCTATTTACTCCTGTAATTTAGGACAAAGCAATATGTGAAGTATACTATATACCAAAATAAAATATTTGAGAACAGCGTATCAAAACTATGGACTCTTTAATAAAATATTAATGCCATATGATAAAAAGGTATTTTTTGGTGTATAAACTATAAAGAAAACTGACCGATACTTTCTAAAGCTAGAGCAAATACTCATTTATTAATAAAAGAAAACAAAGAAATACACACTTGCCTTTGAAAGCTTTAAATGCATGTTTTAATGTGTCATTAGAAGTTTAGAGTTGGGAGAGCACAGCCTACCTAGATGGGTGAGTGTTAATACTATATTTTCTGTTTACAATGGGACAAAACACTATTTTTGAATAAAATATGATAAGACAGTATATAAAACATAACAGCAGCCACTGTTTATGGATTTCCTATTTGGGGCCTGGCTTTGTACCATGAACTTTATTTATCGTTTATTGTCATCCAGTCCTACCAAGTAAGTATTATTTCCCTTGTTTCAAAGATAGAGATGCTGAGGTTTACAGAGGTCACAGAGCCATTAAGCCAGAATTCCTAGTGAGGGCTGTACACTATACGTTATAGAAAAAACTGTTACATGACAAACGTTCTACTATGCTCTTCTATGATAACTGCTTAAGATTCCAATAAATTCATCTTATTCTTTGCTTGAGGTTTTCTTAATTGACTATTCCATTGTTCATTTCTGCAAAATTCAAAATCTTAAATGTAGAGTTTCAACATGTACTAAGGAATAAGAAAAATATCATTACGTATATACTTATCATAACGGTGATTACTTCTATGACTATAAATCATCATATAGTCTTTGATGTATTTTAGCACCCACAAAGGTCACAGAATTCCAATAAACATTCGCAAATAAAACTACTTCTAAATAGCCATTTGAAACACAACTTATCACCTAAATTTCTGGCTTGAATTAACACCCACTGGTGATTCACTCTCACGTGTCTCATCCAGAGCTATGTCGTTTTCCGCATTAGTTTCAGTGAGTTTCTGGCTCACATAAATAGAAATAGACTAGGGTAGATATTAAGAATCTTTCATCCTTTCTAAGATAAAAAGTTCAAATCCAAAGACATATGCAACATCACCTGGCTCCATAATTAATTATAAAAGTATTTTTCAAAGGAAATAGGATATTCAAGTATTTAAAGGAATATTTGATATTTTTAAATATGGTATTTTCAAAATAGCACAGCTTCCCCCACGTTAAGCTTACCTGGAAGATGGCATTGTATTTGAAGCCCTGAATTTTGTTGTAAACGGATTAGTTGACTCATAATCAAAATAGTCCTGACGATTTTCACTAAACGCACTAGGAGATTTGAAGTCACAAGGGCTATCGGATGCCCCATTGTTAAGTTTATCAGATCTTCTGCTATCTTTTTTCCCAGTCACTCTTTCAAACAGGCTAACTCTCTCCCTTTTCTCTCTTTTATTTTCTTTTCTTACTTCAACCGATTTTGAAAATAAATTCATGCTGCTGTCCCATGATTCACTGCTTTCTTCAAATGGATTTTTCTTCCTTGGCAGTGTTGCAAATTTTTGGGGTAATGAAGCAGTCACATTTGTAAATGGGTCATTTTGTCTTCCGAAAGTTGATTCACCTTCATCCACGCTGCTATCAGGTTGGTTCATTTTAGAAGTATCAAAGCTTAATGTTCTTCTGTGTGGAGATTTGAGACTTCCTGCAAACAATTTTGTAGTTGGTACAAAATCAGTGACACATTACATCACACCATTTGACACATTCTGTGTGCACACTGCTGCTTTTAGAATGAGAGCAATTAGCTATTTAAAGATATTAACCTTTAAAATAATCAAAGAAAACAATCCTAAAATGCCAAGGTATAGCAGCCTTAAGTATGTAGGCTAATAACAATTAGTGTATTTATTGTGAGACAATCAGTAATTTACTCAGCTCAGAAAAAAAACAATGTCAAAACTAGAGGTTCTGCTTGGCCTAACAGTGTTATAAATTCTCAAAGTTTTTTTTTTTTTTCATCATTAGAATTAAATTTACTTTCTTATTTCTGAACGTAAAAAGGTTTTCTCTAGGAACTTTCTAATTAGATGGAATTTTCATTTATGCTGCAGACTTTCGAGACAATAAAAATCAGCAGTTAAGAAGCCAGGCAATGAAAAGTGACTGGGACTCATTTTTATTACCATCTAGTAATGTAAATAAAATACGGAATGCAGACACGCTCTGCCTTTAATAAACTTATTGATTTTGAGTACAGTAGGTATCGATAAATATTTGATCACTAAATTTAGAAAATACTACCAGGAATCTAATTTTTATTTTCTAACTTTCGAAGTTAAAAATTCAAAGGGTATTTCAGGCCACTAAGGACACAATTAGAAAGAATGTGTCACTTACCACTTTCCGGAACCGTTCCAAAGGACTCTAGCTGGCGTCCGAGGAGACGCGTTTGCCCCACTGAGCCAGACTTAAGTTTCTCGGAAGATACATGGGCCCCAGTTAAATCAGACATCGAATGCGCTGAAGAGAGTCGCTGAGGACCCAACAGGAAAGGCTTTTTTGGTTTGGATTTCATAGATATTTCACTACTTGAAAATTCAGAATTGACATCGGGCATGTGAGAATTTGGAATGATTGCAGAAGATGTATCCGAAAACGTCCCATCGTTTTTTCTACCTTTCATCTTATCTTTTAATTTTGCAAAAGGAGATCTTGTTTTGTCCTTCATTGATAAGTCAAACATACTTGCTGTCATATTGTTCCTCATGAATTGAATGTTGACCTTTATCTCACCCCTGTTTTTGGCTCTTTTTCCTTGTTTGGATTCTAATCTAAACCACCTTAAAGAGAAGGAAAAACTGGGTTGTAACATGTCATGAAGAGAGGATATCAAGCTTTGTTATGTACAAATAGCTTTGCAGGTAAAGCTATGATACATCAAGGCAATCTTAAGCGATACATGGGAATCTGTCAGCCAGAACACTCTGGTTTTTCTCATTAATTTTTAAAAATTCATCACTGTCTCTGTGACATGACATATACCAAAACAAAACAAAAAAAAAAAAAACCAGGTCTTTACTAAGTTTGGAAAAGTTTTTAGATAACCTTTTCTTTCATGATTTGAAAATCATTCATCATCAAAAATTCTTACCAATGAGAGCTATTAACTGCATTTCCATCTGGGATAAGTGCTGTGATGGCCTGAAAACATTTTTTAAAGTTAAAAGACACTGAGGTACAAACTCTGAAAGAATCCATCAATACGAACTATTTTTCAGCACTATAAAATGATAATCACCACATTTTTAATAAAATATTTAGCCACTATCCCCAAGTATTTCTTCTGTAAAAATTATTAAAAGAATTTTGTTAATATTGGAGATCACTATATGTAGTTTGCTAATCATGAAAACTGTATGATATAATTTAGGTTAATGTAAAATGGGTCAGAGCCTTTTCTTGTATAAAAAAATGCAAAATGAATAAAATGCATAAAGTTATAAATAGTAATAAATCTTATAAAGAGTTTCTGAAGGCAAAAAGAAAGCTTAAATGCTTCCTGTTAGAATTTGCTTCATTTACTATCGCTACTGTGACAATATGGAATAAAAATTATTTTAATTGGAGCCAAATCTTATACTTTTATTCACTTCCTGAATGTACAACACTGCCCATTATTAAATGATGTGTAAGAAGCAAAGTTTACTTTGCTTTTGTTTACAGTATTTTTATCCATGAGAAAGTCTCCAGTTGTGTCACAAGTGGTCATTCTACATGGCGAACAGCCAAAAAACTGCAAAATCAAGGCTAGAAGAGAGTTTCTACAATGTTTTCACATTACTTAACAATGAAGCATAATATCCATTCCTGCAGACAGGTTATTATTTAAATACAGCTCTAATCAAGTGTAACATATTTTCTTAGCTACAAAGGAACTCTGATCTAATTTTACATTAGCTCTTTCTCTCATTGTTACCAACAGGATATGCCAGAAGGCGGCACATTTACTATACATCATGTGGAAGACCCGTTCACTGGTCTTTCCAGACAGGAGAAAATTGGCATGTAACACATATACCAGCTACATCTTAGCAAGTAACACCCAAGAGAAATCCATTCTTGATTAATTTGGAGCAATCTGATCAATTAAGATCTAGATGCGTCAAAACAAGCAATTAAAAAAAAATAATATCTTATAATAGAAAGCATTAACCTGAGACCCTAAACTTAGAAAACTCCTTATCTAAGGCAAACGGTGAAATTCTGAAAGCATGGAGACTAGAAATGACGGCAATAAACTCTGTGGACTAGAGAACCCTGAACAGCCAAAAACTGAGCACTTGAAAAGTCTGAAAATGAAACAAGGTTATATACCCAGTTATTAACTGACAGTTTCAGAAGATAGAAAAGTTTTCAATGAGGGAGAAATACTTCTAATAGATGGTACTTCAGAAATACTCTATAACATCTCGAGCTTTACAGAAAATAGATACACTTTTTAAGAAATGTACCAAAAACAAAACACCCAAGCATGTGAGATTTCCACGTGTATAGCAAATCAAAGCAAATCCAAAAAATAATCCAATAAATGAGGTGAGGGTAATTAAAATTCATAGATTTTTAGAAAAAAAGACCAAATAAATCATCTACTTTAACATCCTTATTTCGTAAATGAGGAAATTGAGGCACAGAGAATAAGTAACCTCCCAATGTCAGAGTAAAGTCAGTAAAAAAAAAATGCCCAAAGTTGTTGAACAACATCTGCATGAAAACAGAAGTTCTTTCATATCTGATGAGCCATATATGTTAAAGATTAAATGCACAGCTGGTAACATATGACACTGTATTTAATCAGGAGACATGACAGCCAAAGAGGAAGTCAATGTAGGTTTTCTCCTGCTAGAGTGTAAGCTCTATGAAGGTAGTTTGCCTTGCACTAAATCAATGTTTATTGAATTATTATTTCTAAAACTTAACTATTTCTAAAACAACCAAGCAATGTGTGTGTGTGTTGCATTTTGTTTTTCAGTAGGGAACACTGAAGACTTATGTGAGCTTTAAAGAATAAAGTCAGTGTTTGAACACAATCTGTAAATACAGTATTTTCCATCCTCCTCCCACCAAAAAAAAAAAAATCCTGCAAAAAACGTCAACAAATAAACTAATTTAAAAAATAGGCATGACAAACAACTTTAACTGCTTTGTTTTGAAAGTGATATAACAGAGAAGTCTTAATGAGACCTTCCAAAATCATCCCAGAGATAAAACTTGTTTTCCTAGGCTTCATAAAGATAAAATAAAGACACAGCATTTGGGGCTTAGTGGATTAATGCTAATTTTTTTCACCTCTTCAGTACAGGATTTAAACTGTATAGGCCTCTGTTCAATTTTTAGTGGGCATAAGTCCATGTTCAAAAACCACCACACATGTGGGAACTATTTGCAAGCAATTGGTGCTGTGTGGTCAGAAACGGGACAAGACTGGCAGTAAGGGTGCCAGAGGCCAGAACACAGGTGCACTGCAGAGACGCACACGAAAGTCCTAAAATCTGTGTGTGTTTGAGTCATACCTAACTCTAGGGACTCTGTTACTACTTTCCATGAGTATTAAAAAAAAAAAAAAACCACCACCCACTTCTGTTGTAAAAAAAAAAGAAAAAATCAATAGATTTTACATAACAGCATGAACAATTTTACCGTTCTATTATTAAGTGTATTATTCTCTTAAATCTCCTGCCAGAACCAACCCAGACACCCATTAAAGTGGGAGATACAGAAGTTCTCTTTCCTTGCCCCACTCAAAGTGCTCAGGCTCAGAAACCTTTCCCCCAATCCTCAAAAGAAAAAAAAAGGCATTTAATTTCAAGGTATAAAAATAAGTAAAATAATAGTTTTAGCTGTCACACTTCTTTGCCTAACATGACACAACTGGAAGACAAGCTGTAAATACTTGTCTTCAGTGTCAAGAGTAAAAAGTGTCACACCTAGCAGTTTCATGGGACTTCTAAATCAGCTGGTAACCTTCATCACTCATATGGGTTTTCTAAAAAGCACTTGGGAATACGCTGACAAGGTTCAGCAATGTGTAGAATATTAAATATCTTTCTTGCAATACACCAATGGCTCAAATCTGTCTCTTACTATGCCACATGTACAGCTGTGCTGGAAAAGGAAACTATTAAATATATTAAAAAACTAGAAATATCACCAATAAATATATCTCATCAAATATGTGGTCCCCATTTATCCACAAATAGAGATTTAATAACAAATGAAAATCACTTTGAATGCAATAACATCACAAGCCCTGTTGATAACATTTTAAAGCATTCCCTCCTCTGCCCCCCGCCGCCAAAAGTTCTAACCAATTTCATATAGTAGCCAATAGAGAATTTCTACAGGGAGACTACAATATTAGAGTCTTGTTTACAGCCAAATGTACTGTAATTGTGATGCTGCTAAAGATAAAGAGTAAAGCAAGAAGAAACTCTGAAAGCGTATTTCATCCTCAGAATCTTTGGGTTCGCAGGTGCACCTACTTTTACTTGGCAAATTTACATTTCAGAGAAGGCTTGTAATACATCATTCATTAACATTAAAAGTACTATAAATGCGGTATGAAATATGAAGTTACAATATACTTAAGTTCATGTTCAAAATACTCTGAATATTACATAGTGACATCCAAAATTGGAAATTTGAAATAAATTATTTGAAAATTATCCATTTTTTCTATTTAAATTTGATGAACTCCTCAGAGGAAAATGAATGACACTTTGTAGGTATCAAACAGTTTTACTGATACATAGGCAACTTTAAATCTTTTAAAACCTTTCTCTGACCTTTTTCCTAAAATATTTCCATCTCTTGAACTAGTCTAAATATTTACCATTGTTCATCTTGCATTCCTAATATTTATCTCTCTACCCTTTTACCCTACACATATTAACACTTAGGTAAAGACCTGATTCAAACTTTTTTAAAAATAAAAAACTCTAATCAAGAGAAGCTTGCAGGAAGATATGTATAAAAAACAAGGGATGGTTGTTTTAAAATATAAGAAATTAACATAGACTTCAAGAAAGTTATAAAAAAGTTTCTAAAAGGGTAAATAAATTTCAGTTATGGCTGAAAGGAACACCAAAGCTATTCTGAAAATTTGAATTCCTCTTATAAAGTCAACTTTTATTTTTCTCTCATTAATTCCATTTATAATTCAATTATAATGTTCTCTCAGACTAAAAAGATTGTAAGTTTAAGGTAGGGGTGAGTACACTAATCTCTGAAAACATTTTTCAATTTAAGACATAATATCCTAGTGTTAACTGATATTATGGGTTTTTAAATTAGAATATATGCAGCTGAAGTTTGAAAGTCATATTAAAAAGGTCATGTTTTCATTGAAGATGTCATTAAATCATTTCATCACAAGAATTTAATTATTGTTTCCAAACTTACAGTATCTAATACCGTCTAAACACACTGGCTTTGCACAACTAAATCTGAAGTAATACACCAGCTCCAACATATTGTAAATTCAAAGGGCAATGCTAGCGTGATCAAGGTTTAGGATGTTTGTACATACTTTTAAAACTTTTTTTCTTTGAACAGCTTTAGACTCCACCAAGATGTACTGACCCTGAAAAATGGTTGGGCTCAAATAAAGGCCAACTGTTTATAATGCTGAAATGAAATACTGCGTTCTAAACTTGATAATTTCTCTTTTGACAGTTTCAGAATTATATATATATATATATATAAATAAACATTATATGGGCAGATTCAGTTTTCTGCTATTCCATTTCCTGGAAAATTCTACGATTTAAAGATCGTAACAATTTACATACACGTTGTTTTGGTAAGTCAACACTTGATCCAGTCTTGTTATTAGTGAAACAATGTTAACCGTTAAAACCCAGTTCAAAGTATTCAATTATTTAAGATGATTACCTCAAACAAATGCGAGAGTAAGGGATTACTGATGACTCCATTTAAAAAATGTTTCTCCACAAGAGCTATTTTTACTTGAGATTCATGCAAATATGGCGCTTAAAACTGGGTCATATTTCAGTCCAAAAACCAATGCCCCAGGTATACAAATAATTTCCAAGAACAGAAAATCCGTAAGATATAAACTCCCCCAAATTCAAAATAAATTACATAACTTACTCTGTTTTCCTTCTTTGTTTGTCCTCAAAGATGTCATTGAGATTGATTGCCACCTGCCCTAAAAACTTATCCAGACCCACCAGGGACCTGTGCATAACTATGAGGAAAAGAATGTATTTCTCTGGATTCCCCTGCATCAGCAATCCAGGGAGCTCAAAGGAGGCCTCTTCCTTCCAGACTGGCTCAAGGGTTTTCTCAGCTACGGAGGTGGAGTACTTTTCCTTACCCAGCTGAATTATAGTGTATGTATCATTGGTGCCACTTTTGCCTTTTGGCTTAAGATCTTTGGCTTGGAGCACTGTGACCTGCACGTGGGTTGGAAACCACTTTTGGGCTTGCTCGGACAGCATCATTCTGTCCTTTCTCTCTGCACCGAGCTCCCAAGCACAGGCAAGTGCCCCTCCCGGAGGGAGCGCCTAATGCTTAATCACTGCATCCTAAGGGCACTTAACGGGAGACGGACAAACTCACAACTGTCCAACTTCCCTAGGGCTGATGTCAAACAGCTGCACCGGGGCAGTCCGGGGGCACGGCTGCTCTGGGGACGTCCCCTGTCCTCGGGAGACACCTGGGGCTCACCATCACCTGGCCGCGCCGTCCGGCCCCCGCGTCCGCACCTTCACTCTCCGCCCGCCGGGGGGACAAGCCCTCGGCGACGCGGGCAGCTACCCGGCCCACCGGCAGGAGAGGCCTGGCCGCCGGGCGGAGGGCTGCGGGGGTGAGGGCGCCCCCCGCCCTGCAGACTAGAGCTCGCCAGCCCCAAACGCAGCCTCCGGCCC